TAAATCTCAATTTCGAAAAATTGACCCTTATGACTGCTTTTGTGGTCCAGGGTCACATATTACAGGTCTTCTAAAGACATACAATCACTTTGTGTGGAAAAACAGACAGACATTTGATTTTGGAAGAATGACAATACAGTATACAAGCATCTGCTTTCCTTGTATGAAAAAGTGCAGTTTAAACATATTGTGCTAAGCTCACTTCAACTCATTTAGGGTTTAATGTAACAATAACATCGGAATTACATGTATATTGAGTAAATGATGAACTACCCTGATCGTTTGTCATTTTTTGAATCATGTCAGTAAGGTGAAATCAGTTTTGAGGAGAGTTTGACTAGACTTAATTGAAACGGTACTGAAATATAGTTTAAAGGTGGGGTAAGCGATTTTTCAAAAACGCTTTAGAAAACTGATTCGGGCCGAGTAGCAAAACAAACTTGTAGCCAATCAACAGTAAGGGTAGTGTCTACTCATGATGTGTAGGAGAGAGCGCTCAGTGCTCACATTAGCGAGCCGAGCGACAGAAAGATAGAGATGGCAGATAAAAAACACAGCGATCGGACACCGAGGTTGCTTTGTTTCTTCTCGATAGGTGAGTAACACCGTGTCTGCGCCGCAACAGCTAAAGTCTGTCTAGTACACTGGACGCGACAAAGCGACCGTTGAAAATCATTTGAAATGTGTGTCAAGACGTCATAAATAGAACGCAGCAGCAGTTTTCTGTTGGGGATTTGTCGTGTCGCGCCGCATCCAGTGTAGACCATAGATATGTATATATATCTATGGTGTAGACAGCATCACTGATTATAATGAGTTCCATAGTATTTTGTCACTCCGCGCCACTCGTCGACTTCCAACAGAGCTGAGCTGGATGAAGACATCACTGAATCAATGATGAAGTGACTTTAACTGGAAAATTACGTGTTTACTATCGTCCTCTTGCAATATCAACGCACTATTTTCCTGTTTAATACTGTAAAGCAGCTTTGACACAATCTGTATTGTATAAAGTGCTATATAAATAAAGCTGACTTGACTGTCAGTGATCACGTTTTTTCATGTCCTAAAACACACACACTCATAACCACACATCAAACACAATATGAACGAACTACATTTATGTATAAAAACAACACAATCATGCAATAAAGAAGAGACACTGACAGATTAGCCAGGGCAGAGAGACAAAGTAGTGAAAAGAGAGAAGGTACTAAGAAGCCGTATGGTCATGTCTGGGTCACAGAGGTCAGAAGTTCAACAGATCTTCTTACCTTAACGTCTGCTTTTTTGTTCAACAAGCTCTTGGCTGCTACAATGGGAGGAAATAAGAGAGAGACGTTAAATCAGCAACACCGTAATACAAAACGTCAACTAACCCACCGGACAGGCAGTTGAGTTTACCCAAGGCTATATTTCCTAAAATGAAACATAACACTGCAGATATTAATCATACCTATAATCTATCTGGTAAACCATAACTAGGCCCAAACAGGATTCTGCACTCAGTTTGGGGAAGAATTGTATGGAATGGATTTCAATGTAGTAAATATGTTAAAGATGGTTGAGAGCTCTAGGCTCTTACCGGTAAATAATCTAATGATCAAGTAAGCTCAAAAGAGGCAGGAGATTCAATTCAAATTATGCAATAATATCCAGAACGTGCTGCAAGGACAGATTCTGTGTTGGCCTACTTATACACATGATACAGCATTGATGAGTCATTAACAATACATTATATAATTCTTATTAGCTCAGCAGTCAATGTAGATATGAATATACACTACTATTCAAAACGTTGGGAGTTAGTAAAATTTTTTTTAAACGCTGTTCTTTTGAACTTTCTATTTATTAAAGAATCCTGAAAAAATGATCACTTTTATGTATAACTTCCACAAAAATATTAAGCAGCACAACTGTTTTCAGCAGTGAAAACAGCAAAAAGAAATGTTACTTGAGCACCAAATTAGCATATTAGAATAATTTCTGAAACATCATCTGACACTAAAGACTGAAGTAATGGCTGCTGAAAATGTAGCTCTCACCCAAGAAATAAATTACATTTTAAACAATATTACATGATTATTTAACATTTCATAATATTACTGTTTTTACTGTATTGTCAATAAATGCATCAAATAAATACAGCATTGGTGAGCCTTAAGAGCCTTCTTTAAAAACCATGAAAAAAATTTAACCAACCCCACTTTTGAAGGGTAGTGCGTATGAAATTAAATATATATTTCAATGTTTCGCGATATCTAGCTATTTGATTGTCCGAGAGCTAATGACCTATATGATTTTTAAACATTAAGATTTATTATAAAGTGTTACTCATGGCCTCTAAGATTGAACAATTCAAAAATCTATAAATAAATAAACAAATAAAATACAATAAATTGTTTTTGTCTTACAGGAAAAATTGTGGTAGAAAAATCCACTAAGCTATACATATTTATCTGCTTCCTTATCACAGAAACAATGTTGCCACAGATATCTCATTACTCGGTGTACATTTTTGTTTTTTACTACTTATTGATTTCACAAATGCTTGTTTTCAGGTTTAGCCAAACAGTTTCCAGACAGTGTAGCTGACCGAGGAACTTTTCAATCCAAGAAATATTAGGATTGATAATTATATAATAATAAATGATATAATAATTTATATAATTATTTATTTATTATATAATAAATGTGATGTTATGTTTTTCATAACATCACGGCGGTACGGTGATAACACTTAACGGCACAGATTTTACTACATATTTAAACTGAGCAGTCTGTTTTTATCCCATATGTTTGACTGACTGTATTTTATTATGATAATGAACAGGCTGCATTTTCAAGATCGCCATGTGGCGCCGGCACAATCACTTGAGTTTTTTCCATCTAACAGTGGAAACAACTACTTCTTTTAGTCATAAAGATAATCGGAATTGTAAAAAATAAAGGCAAACCTGTGTACATTAACAATAAAAACAAATCTTTGTGCTTTTGTAAAATAAGCCTAAAGAAAAATAGGATGACGCTTTCTGCCGTCTGTTTCCTTTCGCGCAGCACAAAAATGAACCGAACCTCTGCATGCTAGGCTTCTTGTTTTTCTTACATTTTCTTATTTTATAATTTAAGTAAAAATATGTTTCTCATATAGGAAAGGTATAGGCCTATTTATCATTATATATATAGGCCTATAACCTAGCGTTATGATGTTTTTCAAATCACAAATGTTTTCATTACTTAAAATTCCGAGTACTCGGGTACTTGTGCCCATCCCACTTGTACACCTTGAAGGATATCTTAACCAGTTTCTACTAGGGATGTTCATTTCGGTTATTTTTCCTAACCGACGCTCGTTAATCGATTATTAACCGTTAACCGACAAGATTATTTTAAATTAGAATTTCTTATATTTTTAATTCTTGTTCTTTTCTAAATACTGTTAATTGAAAGGCGTTATTGTGGAGTGAGGGGAACTAAAATAGCCTAGCTATGTTTACAGTGTTTATTATAATGTTTGTAAACATTTCGCGTCGGCATTAGGACTATTTCTGAATGAAATAATAAAATGCGACTTATACGGGACTTGTTTTTTTTCTGTAAAAAACACAATTTGTTTTTATACACGTAGCGTATTTTAACCATGCAGCAAATCTTTTTAAATATTTTGAAGTTACTGATAAAAAATAAATAAATGACTTTTTAAACCATTTAACTGATTGTATTAATCGGTCAAAATTCTATACGGTCGGTTAACGGTTAACCGGTTAAAATGAACATCCCTAGTTTCTACTTATCTAGGTACTGTTCGTTTAATACAATAAGTTCAGCAAAAACCCTGTCATTTAGAACATTCTGTAAAATGATCCCACAGATTCAGCTCCGTCACCAGTAAGATGGCATGAGCCGGCATTATGCATTAAAAACAAAAACACACATAGCAAGAGGTTGCACAAAGAAATTAAGCCTAATACATGTGCTGTACTTCTGGTCATAAACTGAAAAACAGGGTCACTCAAGGTTGGTATTTGATACAGATCCTTCTAGAACTGGTGGCCCAAAGAGATCAGTGAGAAAGAGGAGTTGTGAAGTAACATCTAATACTCTAGAGTGAGTGGAGCTCCTTACCTTGCCATTAACACAGAGAGCAAGAGCAAGAGAGAATGAAGAGAAAAAGAGAGAGCAATGGAGAAGAGGTCAAAATACCAGAGTGCTGTCTCTATGAACGCTGATGCTAAACGACTATCGATGGAGCTGTATATGGGGCTCAAGAACAAAAAAAAAAAAGTATGTCAACTTGTTTTCAGTACAGTCATCATTTTTCTCAGAGTTGATCTACTTTGCAGAGAGTCAGCACAAACAAGGTTTAGCAAAAAATAGCAGGCAAATACGTTTGTGCCATGCTGTTTTGTATAAGCAGTTTCACTACTCTAAAACCTAGTCCTCAATTGTTCTCTAATGCTTTAAAAACACATTACATATGAAAATATTATAATTTACATTAAATAAGTTAACTTAATAATTGCAATATATTTATACAAAATACAAATATATTTATATCTTGACATTATCTTGACAATTTTAATGCATCTTGTGCAATGTGGAGTAGTTGCACAAGCAAAACTGAGCATTATTGTCTAATGATAATGCAGCTTTTCACTACAAGACAAAAAGCATGTGAACTCCTTATCTATTTTTACACCTTTTGAACCTTGATTTCAAAACTATGGGAGTTGAATCCACTTTTGCTGTTATAACAGCTTCCACTGCAAACAGCCAAACTTAGGGGTGTCCACATACTTGTTTATAACCTAAATCATATTTGAGAAATATATTCTCTTATATGCACTATATAAAAGTCAAACGTGAGGATTTGGAACGATCCAGATGTCAGTCCCATATGTAGTGTAACTGCCTATAGTGCAGTAGTCTGGTTGCTCAGGCTGGGGTTAGTAGAAGGACAACAGAGAGAGGCAGCACTACATAAATATTTGATTGCAGGCATGTGGAGGGAGCATCAAATATGAAGCACAGCCTTCACATTGAGCCACAGCACACGCTCAATGTACCAGCTCAACCCTTCTAGCATGATGCACTCTATGTAAAAAAAAAAAAAAAACGGAAAAGGAAAAGCTGAAAAACATTTAAACCTGAATAATTTTTTGCCCTCTAAAAAAGGTAACCGGCAAAACAATGCCACTAGCTTCTCCTCCAGAGCAGCTGTTAAGATAAATCAAGAAATACTAAATAATCACATTTTACCTTTAAGCTTAAATGCCAGTGCCAGGTCAAAATGATGCTTTCACGGACAGAAAAACATCATTCTAAGCCATTTTAGAACAAATAAATAAATATTAAGATATTAAATATAATTAAAAAGCTGAAAAATATTTACAATACAGTCAGTCAATCTACAATTTGGACCACACATTTCAGAATAAAGGCCTGTTCACACCAAAGATGATAACTATAAAGATTACTATGTTAGTGTCCACAGCAATGGACAATGATTATTATTAATATTAAACAGAATTTTAAACCTTTAAAACTATGAAACAACACAAACTGTAATGTTCAACAAATCAGAACTAATCTTGTACTTCGTCTTCTGCTTTTCTTTTACTATCTGGTCAAAATAAAACACTCTGAATAAAATAAAAATTGTTTGAGCAGCTTGCTCTGGCATTGATTTGTTTCGTGACAGATTAGCAAAGATTGGTTTTCTTTGTATCAGCTCTGGAGGAGATGCAAGAAACAAAGAGTCATTGAAGTAGAAAGATTCCAAATACAATGTTCTTGATCAAACTGAAACTACAATGTTTTATTACAGGCATGTAGGCCCAAGATTAACTTTGATAAATTGCTTACTTAGTGTAGCGCTCTAGGTTAAACCCTGCAAAATAAAACAAATGTACTGCAACAGTAGATTCACTATAGTCTAATATGGAACAAAAAGAGATACTGTGCATTTCCCTTCATACTGTAGATCCAGTATCTTTAAGTACTGTTAATTGAAATTCTACAGAATTCTACATCCTGTCCATGTCCATTAAATAAGAAAAAAAGACTACATAAAAAGAAGTACAGTTGTCAAGAAGCTTTGACCATGCACAAGTGCACCAGATCCGTTCAGCCCATCTCACCCCCAAGTTAGTGAACATGCATTAGTCCAACCTCCCATGCAGCATTCAGCACAACAGCAGGCAGACTGTTCCACCCCCTGAAAGAGGGGTGAACTTCAACTTCACAGACCATATTAAAGACAGAGTAAAGGAAGAAAGAATACAGAGGATGAAAGTGAAGATGGCTTATGGGTGTCAGATAAAAATGGCAAAGAAAAGTGATGAGGAGGATAAGAATAAACCAGAAAAAAAAGGAAGAGGCAGTGATTTATGGCACATACTGTATGAAAGAAAAAAAATGATGGAGAGAACAGGACTCAAAAAAAGAGAGTGGGAAGGGACAATACATTCATCATGTAGGGATCTTGGTGTAGATCCTCTGTAAAATAAATAAAAGATGAATGAAGTGGTGATGACAGTGATGACGACAGACAGCTGAGGGAACCAATAAGCAGATACATATGATATCAGACATGAACTGCAAGAGAAATTAGATGAAAAATGACACAAAAGTGTGGAGGACAAGAAAGAAACGGAAGAAACAGCAGGTAGAGGTAGAGGGTGAGTCATCATGCATGCTTTAGCCCCATGCAGAGACAATCATGGACTAGTGAGAGACAGAGAGGATGATGGGAGAGGATGAAATACAAAAATGTTTCTTTCATAGAAGAGATGAAAGAAACTGAAAAAAAGGTGAAAAAATGAAATTAGACAAACAAGAAAAAAAGGAAACCAAACAGGAAATAAGAAAGGAAATGAACAGGAAAATGGGAAAAGAAAAGGGGTAAGGAAAAGGAAAAGGAAAGGAAAATGGAAAGAAAGGGGAAAAAAAAGCAAAGGAAAATGAAAGAAAAAATGAATAGGGAAGTAAAAGGGAAATTGCAAAGGAAAGGGAAAAGAAAGGAAAGGGAAAAGGGAAAGGAAAAGGGAAGAGGAAAGGAAAAGGACAAAGGACGTAAAAGGGGAGAGACAGGGAAAATGGAAAGAAAGGGGAAAAGCAAAGGAAAAGGAAAGAAAAAATGAATAGGGAAGTAAAAGGGAAATTGTAAAGGAAAGGGAAAATGAAAAGGGAAAAGAAAGGGAAAGGAAAAGGGAAGAGGAAAGGAAAAGGATAAAGGACGTAAAAGGGGAGAGACAGGGAAAATGGAAAGAAAAGGGAAAAACAAAGGAAAAGGAAAGAAAAAATGAATAGGGAAGTAATAGGGAAATTGTAAAGGAAAGGGAAAAGGAAAAGGAAAGGACAAAGGACGTAAAAGGGTATGGAGGACGAAACCTGCAAAAACAATAAATAAATAAATGCACAAATAAATAAATAAATGTGTGCAT